ACATACAACTTTTCGTAAACAAGTGCACAAGCCTTCTCCAGTATTCTAAATCATAGGCAGCTTCAACGCGATTGGTCTAAAAGTACGTACAGTTAAGTACGTGCAGTCAAGTATATACAGTCAAGTATACGAGTATAAAGTGGGAATCACCATAGCTTATTTGGGATTTGAGGGGCGATTAGGGGCTATAAACCAATGTAAATTGACCCACTACCTACAAATTTAAGGTTAAGCAGTTGACTGGATATAAAACCAACCATTAAAAGCCTTGCTCATAGCCAGTAGGTATCAGAAAAAAGTACATGAGCCACGTGATCACCACTCCGCTTGAGCTTAGATACGCCGCTTTCATAAATCTAGCCCGCCCGCCGCCTTAGTCATCTTCGATCCCGCCGCCCCCGCTAAATCAATAGAAGCTTTTGAAATTTCAAGATCAGAAAATTCCTACAACTTCAAGACGACGCAAACAGATCCATGAGATGGCACCTTCAGCAACATCCCCACCTCCCACCGAAGATTTAACAATTCTCACCCTACGCAAAACCTTGACCAGCGAATCCGAACCCCTCGCGCGCCGTTTCCGCGCCCTCTTCTCTCTCAAACACCTAGCCTGCCAGTCCTCCCTCCCCGCAATCCAAGCCATCGCCGCAGCCTTCACGTCTCCTTCCGCGCTCCTAAAACACGAACTCGCGTACTGTCTTGGACAAACGAAGGATGTAGCTACTGTGCCATATTTAAGGGCTGTGCTTGAGAATAAGGATGAGGATGCTATGGTTCGGCACGAGAGCGCAGAGGCGCTGGGCGCTATTGGGGATGTGGGCAGTTTGAAGTTATTGAGGGAGTTGAGGGATCAGAAGGAGGAGGTTAAGGAGGTTAGAGAAACATGCGAGATTGCTGTGGCGAGGATTGAGTGGGAAAATTCAGAGAAGGGAAGGAAGGAGAAGTTACGGCAGAGGTATGTTTTTCCACGTTTGAAATGAGGGGTAAGCTAAGTTTAGCAGTGACTTTGCTTCAATTGACCCGGCGCCCCCGGCGGCACTTTTGGAGGAAATAGAGACGGTGGAAGCATTGGGGAAGAAGTTGCTTGATACGGAGCTGCCTTTATTCTTGAGATACAGAGCTATGTTCAGTCTGAGAGATCTCGCATCTCCACCGGATCTTCCAACAGCTGTTCCTGCCGTCCATGCCCTTGCAAAGGGCTTCACGGACCCCTCTGCGCTCTTCAGACACGAAATCGCATTCGTTTTCGGCCAATTATCACACCCAGCATCTATCCCCGCTCTTTCCGCAGCTCTTGCTAATTTGGAGGAGGCTAGTATGGTTAGACATGAAGCTGCTGAAGCGCTGGGTAGTCTTGGCGAGGAGGAAGGCGTTGAGGATATTCTGAAGCGGTTCTTGGGTGACAAAGACCAGATTGTGAGGGACAGTGTTATAGTTGCACTGGATATGGCTGAATTCGAGAAGGGGGGTGAAGTCGAGTATGCTTTGATTCCGGAGAATGTGATCGCGTAGATATCGGTGAAATATCTGGGTGGGGTTATAGACTACTAGGTACCAAAGTGCTTGGGCCTTGAAGAGCAATTCGACCGATTCATCTCCATCTTCAATATATTCAGAGTGACCACGGCGATAATATAGCCATTTTACAGACACCATTTGTTTCGGATTCGGAGAACTTCATGAGCTTTTAATTGTTCGTGTTCCACCTTTGAAAGTCAGTAGAGACCAAGTGAAATATTGTAAGATGGCTAACCTGTGACCACAATCGCATTGGAAGAAAATAGTACTTCCTTCATCTGCGCCTCGCAATTGTGCTGAAGTGTATTTGACCTCCTTCCGGCCACACATTTCGCAAGCCATCGCAATCTTGACCGAATTCTCCATGTCGCTTCTTTCCACGGTCTGAACTGCGGATCGCTTTTGTCGTAAAAGTGAAGGGAATGAAGCCGCTTTTGTGGTCGTTGTAATGGTCTTCGATGCAGTATCTGAAAGCGCATTAGAACTTGTTTTTACGAGTGCATACTAATAGTGTATTGTATACCTTTATTTTCAGCGTTGCAACATTCGCAGAGCAGAATGGTATTCTGATTACCGGTGGAACTGTCAAGCAGATTACCACAATCTGTGCAAAAAACGAGGGATCCAATGGCAGACATATTGACTATTGTTGTTCGTATTCTTGTTGTTGTACACAGTTCCTCTAGATGAGGCTTCAGCTTTTTTTTTCTGTGTTCAGGAGCGACCAAGCCTCGTGGCTGACTAAGCAAACTAATTGACTGACTACGGCAGCAGCCTTGCCTCGCGATGCCCAGAGCTTCAACTCCATACTGTACCGCATGGGACATTTCAGATGCCTCCAGACTCAATTGAATATCGATCTTCTCATTCAGTATTCTCTCTTGCAATATGCCTTTACTTTCTATCAAATAAATACTCATGGTCGCCATAATTGCCCACCGTTTTAACAATATCCACCATCGAGGGACAAGCCTCTTCTCCCACCTTCATCATGGCAACCAACGGCTATTCCCTCAAAAATGGGGACCCAAATGTTTCAAATGGTACTCCCACAATGAATAGAACCCATCAGCCAAAACCTAGGGTTCTCACCGTCGATGAAGCTCTTCCATTAACCCCATTTACCTCTATTGTCCCCTTCAACTCAGGTTCGCTCACGCTGTTGCCCCTCCATTCTGGAGCCATATACTGACAATTCACTTTCAGATATCGTACCCCTCCCATTAGTGGGCCTCAGATCATCCGTATCATTATTTCCAACTGAAGCCGAGCGTGAAAATGGAAGGCAGGGTCTCGAAAGCCTCAATCGCGAGGCTGCTGATCCTCAAAACACTTCGCAGAGGCTACAGAGGAGCTTGGATGATCTCAAGGCGCTTCTGAAGCCAGAGGGAATTCCTCAATAGTAGGTCACAACAGATGTATATGTTCAGGCTCAAGCTAAATCCCTACAGTACATTCAAAACTGCTCCCAAGTTTACACCAGGATCCACTACGAACGAACAACCAAGAATGACACTATCACCTTTTGCAAGGATGGTACTTGATGGGACCGGTGTTGAATTTACCTGTCCCTCACCTCCCCATCCTCCACAGCCTCTGAGCTCTCGAGCAAATAAGCCCAAGTCACCCAAGAAATCGAGAGCCGATCAAAGCCAACATCAGCAACGAGCAGTATCAAACCAAACGGCACACAACGAGAATTCAACCATTACAGTTCAGATACCAAAGAAGCAGTCAAAACCGCAAGTTGCGACCCCTCCTCAACCTACACCCTTCAAGCCCAGCTCCGGTATATCGGTGGTTATTCCAAGTCTTCCAAATGACTTCCGACGTGATCAGTACACACCATCAAAAAAATCTATTAGTTCATCTTCCACCCGGCCGCAAGTCCAGCATTCAACCCCCAATCCTCCAAAACCAGCACCTCAGCCTCACCAGAGTAGTGTACCTATGGTGGAGATTCCCATTCAGACCTCCGATCCTCTAAAATCAGCTCCTCGGCCTCCCCAGAGTAGCGTTCCTTTGGTAAAGGTTCCCACGGTTCCCATCCAAACCCCTACTCAACAAATAGTACAGACTTCGATCAAACCAGAGACGCCCAAAAAGCTGGCTCCACAACCTTCCCCAGCTGCTCCAAGGTCGGGATCTAACCCTGCCTTGGCAGTTGTAATCCCCGATCTGCCTGCGACCTTCAAAGCTGAGGGTTATGACGTGGTTCCAGATTCACCCGATACACCTCAGCACCTTTCACGGAAGCGAAAACGTTCTGAGATTGATGAGTATGAAGAAGGTTCATCCCTTACTGTTGACCAACGAGAAAAGGGAGATGCAGCAGCTCGAAATCTCCGTGTGTTTCTTCAGGAGATCTTCGAGGTTGAAGATCAGATACAGCCGGATGGATTTTCAGGGAATCAGCTTTTTACATCCACCAGCGAAGGAATAAGTCTTACCACCATGGCCCAAACCAAAGTCGAAAGCTTGCTACAGAAAATCATATCCGCAGGGCGCTTTACACAAGCTCCTCTAGACGAACTCCTCCGACTGCAGAAGCTCTCCGAAGGTGCGCTCAAGGATTCAGAAAACATTGACGTCAAAATATATGATAGTATGGGAGACTCAGAAGTAGAGGCGTGGCTTCAGCAAGTCGATAGTGCAGAGATCGGACTTAAGGCCGCGAGAACGTCTTTGCGATTAATGTCTGGAGGTCGTGAGGACAGACAGCTCTATTCCGAAGACGTCATCTTGACAGCTCTGAACTCATTTAAGAATGTGGTGGAAAACTGCATAGTTCCAGTCGTGGAAATGCGCAGTTCTGGGTCTTCCTCAACGACATTCAAACTATTGTCTGCTCAAAAGAAAGTCATCAACAATTTGTTGACCCAATGCCGACGCGTTCTCTCTCTCTTGGCGTCCCTCGTGGCCAATATCGAGCTTTCTGAAACTGTCATCAACATACTCGAGTTCACAACGTCGCGCTTGATTTTTGTTGAAAACGCCCCGGTTGAACGTGACTCGATTCTTGGGGTCGCGAGGTTTGATAGCCTGCGTGTTGTAGCCATGGATGCTCTAGCCCAGATTTTCCTCTGTTTCCCGACGCAGCGTCAAGGCATTTTTGACGAGATCCTTACTTCTCTGGAGAAACTGCCAGTCACGAAGCAAAGCGCTCGTCAATTCAAGCTTGCGGAAGGAGGCAGCATTCAGCTTGTTTCAGCATTGATCATGCGTCTCATTCAAACAAGTGCCAGTAAGCCCGATGTCGCCAAGGCAAAGCGGAGAAATAAAGCACTTGAAGCCCTCAATGGAGATGATGATGGGGACAATGCGAACTCTAACGCCAAACAAGGTTCTGATGTGCGGTATACGGTCAACTCGGAGCCTCGAGCCGAACAACAAGCTGTGACAGCAATCCAGGAGCTGAAGGAGGAAATTTCTCCCCTTTTAGATACTGCTAAAACCAACGCGAGCTACGTTGTGGGATTTATCGTGGGCAGAGCTATGAAGTCTACTAAAACAGGCGATGCCCCATATAGGAATCTACTTGATCTTTTCGTGGAGGATTTTATCACGTGTTTGAACTCACCAGACTGGCCTGCGGCGGAGCTCCTGCTTCGCCTTTTCCTCTTCAAGATGGTGCACCTGGCAGAGGGTGATAAAACACCTGCTCCAGCTAAGAATATGGCTCTCGACCTGCTTGGTCTCATGGGCTCCGCCATATCTGAGCTCAATTCGCACGTTCGGAAAACTGCCACGTCTCTAGAGACTGGAGACGAATTAGCACAGTATCTCGTGAGACTGGCTTTCTCGTCGCTCGGAAAAAGAGGCTCTCTTGCCGATCTTGTATCGTGGTCATGTGGCCCATTTCGGGTATCGCTGGAGTATCTTGAAGAGCGTTACTCTCAGGATCCTCAATTGCACAGCGCTATTGGATACTTCATGGCTGAATGGGCTTCCAAAATTTGCTCGACTTTCGAGACGATCGATGAGGATCAGGAGGACTGGACGCAAATTGAAGCAGAATATGGGCGACTAGCTTATCGCCTTCGGATGATGGTCAGCGATAGGAGGTGGCTCTCGACCGAATACAGCTTTGACACTGTCAGCCCACCTCATGCACGTATCGCATACTCGTTAACCTTGCTTCATTCGCAATTCTGCGAATCTTTTGGCCGAGTTCTCACAATCCTGCTAGGATCCATGACTAGCGAACAAGCAACAGTTCGAAGTAAGAGTTTGAAGAGTGTAAACCAAGTTCTAGACACGGATCCAACTATTCTTGATCGAGAACCGGCCGTGATGAATTTGATACTGAGATGTTCAAATGATGCGTCTGTACAAGTTCGCGATTCTGCTCTCAATCTAGTCGGAAAGTGTATCAGCTTGCGACCTGCGCTTGAGGAAGAGATGATACCAGGTATCTTACAGCGAGTCAACGACAGTGGTATTGGTGTGCGGAAGCGTGCCATGAGGTTATCCAAGGACATATACCTACGGAATACGAATCGAGATGTTAGGAGCTTAATTGCCGATTCTCTACTTCATCGGGTGGTCGATCAAGATGAGGGTGTGCAAGAATTAGCTCGACAGACAATTGAAGAAGTTTGGATGTCACCTTTCTACCAACCGACATCTGTTGAGGACACGTCAGCCCAATTCAGATTGGGTATGGCTGACCATGTTGCGCTCATGGTCAAGACCGTACAACGGGGCAGCGGCGTTTCTTCTGTGTTGGACAAGGTCTTGAAAAACATGCTGTCGGAAGATTCCAAGTATGCCACGGCTAACTTTAAGGTCTGCAAAGCTTTGGTTGCCACCATGTTCGAAACAATCATTGATAATCCTGCTGGCGAGGGAAACGAGGCTCCATCCGCTCGTGATACACTATTAGTGCTCATGATTTTCGCTAAGTCGAACGCTAAGCTGTTCACTCCTGAGCAGATCCAGCTTCTTCAGCCTTATACTTCGAACGTAAGTGGTGGAGACGACATGGCTATTTTCCGGTCTGTAATAGTCATCTTTCGTCATGTTTTGCCTCATTTATCAAAGGCTCATAATGCATTTCTCGGTGAGGTAAGAAAGGTTCTTATTCAACAAGTTGGACGTATGGGACGAGCGATCTTGGACGACTTGATAGCCTGTCTATGGATAATCAGCGAAGTTCTCGGAGACTTTCAAAATCTGACTCGATTGACGTTGTCAAGCTTGGTCGGAATCAATGGTCTGAAAAATGTCGATCTGAATGATCCTACCAAAGCAGGCCATATCAGAAAGATCACTCGCCTCCTTTTGATTGGCGGAATGTGCGGAAAGCACTGCGACTTGAATTCGCATGCCGAGTTCTTCAAGCAGGCCTTCCCAACATGGAAGGACAACTCTGTTTCCAAACTGATGTGTGACACCTTTGCGCCGTTTGCGTCACCTTCACAGCCACTCGAGGTACGAAAGGGTGCTCTGGATGCGATTGGGATGGTGTGTCAGTCTTGGCCAAAGAATTTCTCTTCAGCCAATATATACACTTCATTCCGGGAGGTGTTCAATGATAAGAATCCAGTATTGGAGACAATTGTACTGGGAGCCTTCAAGGATTTCCTGCTGCTTGAAGAAAAGCGCTCTGAGGCCGGACGCGAAGCCTTACCTGGTGCTGCAGCAGATCCCACTGCTAAATTGGGCGTGATGGGTGGTGGCCAAGGTGATGGTGTTGCGATTGGCATAGCTCAAAGGTTTTTGGTAGACGTCGTCCGCATCGCATTGTCTCGTCAAGATGAGCAAGGGCTTCTGGCGACAGAAGTGATCGCCAGTGTAGCTAGACAAGGCCTTGTTCATCCAAAGGAATGCGGGGTACCATTGATTGCTTTGGAAACATCCCAAAACTTAAAAATTGCAGAGATCGCTTTCAGAGAGCATCGTGCGGTCCACGAGAAGCACGAGACAATTCTAGAGAAGGAGTACATGAGGGCTGTGCAAATGGCATACACCTACCAGCGAGATGTGGCTAAGAACACCAACGGTGCAACCCTTAATCCATATACTTCCAAACTTCACCAGATGATCGAAGTTCTGAAGATCAGCAAAGTAAAGAACCGCAAAAGGTTCTTCGAGACTCTGTGCTCTCGTATTGACTTCGATCCCGCCAAAATCGACATCGAGGAGGTTCCGCATCACTTAGACTTCTCTCAATTCATCATTGAAAACATGGCATTTTTTGAGTACGCAACCGTTGATGAGCTCTTAGCTGCTATCACGGCAATGGAAAAGGTGGTTGCGGCAACTGGAACTGGAATCGCGCATTCTATCGAGACCGAGATCTTCCACGTTAGTCTGGATCAACCTTCTCAAGTTGACGCAAATGGTCAAATGCAGCCTATCCAGCCTACCATTGACCCACGTCGCATGCAGCTTCTTACTGCTTCTTCCATGATGCTCACCAGTCTCTGGAGTGCTCGCACATTCCTCAGACGCCAGTATGGTCTCATGAACAAACAGCGCGATAACAAGAACAAATCAGCAACCAAGGATCTCAACAGAGCACCTGTGAAGGCTCAAGGAGTTAGTGGCGACAAATTTTGGGAGGATTCGTCTTCGACCATGACCGCACTGGACTCAGAAGACAGTATGATGAATCAATGCCGAGCCTTTGTGGAGCTCTTGAATGTGGACCACGATTTCAAGGTTGCAGCAGAAGGAGACGAGGAGGCTGAACAAGCTAGGTTGAGCACACCTAGTGAAGACGAGGAGGGTACACCGGGCCCACCGGGTGGAAGTGGCAGAGGACGTAAGAGAAAGAGTGGCGGCACTCCTGGTGGTCGGAAGAAACGCGCTCGATCATCTTCTGTTCCACGTGGTCGTGGTAGAGCTAAAAATTCCGGGAAGTCTAAAGCCAGTGTGGAGGGAAGCGACGGCGAGGATGATTGGTAGTAAAAGGCGGACCGGAGATGTGCTATATGGCGTTTTCTGGTATTTGGGTTTAGGAGTCGAGATTTGAGCGCAAGGGGAGTTGGAAGAAACATATGTATCATAGGGATGGACATTCTATGTGCTTATTTACATGGGAAGCGGCGGAATCTCTGGGAAATGGAGATCATTGCATTATTGCAAGTCATGGCACTGACAGCACAGAGCTACCTAGCAAGATGGCTCAGCCGTATATGAAATGAATATATTTTCACACACAAGAAATCTCTTGAAGCCTCCATTATGTCGTGTAAGTTCACGCTTGATTTTAAAGCCTAAAGCCTAGCGGTTGAACGTTGAACTCTCTCCAACTCGGCTCCCTCTTTCCTTCCGCTGAACTTTTGCGTTGAAAAGAAGATCTTCGAACGAAGGAAAGTAAGTCCCCATCTATCACATCATCCTAAAATATCCAGGCCTCAAAAGATCATTGCTTCGTCTCGCAGTAATCGAATGAGGACTACCACTAGCTTACGGCCGAAAAGCGGGACGATACAAGCACCGCACTGCACCACACCAAACCACGACACTATGTGACCAAGTAATTTTTCGGATTCGCGTGAACGCGCGGCTCAAAGGGTCGGGATAACTTCTCTCGATAAGTTTGAGGCAGCGGCCGTACACATCTTACATGGAATACGTCAATGGCGAAGTTGGTGTGAAAGTAAAGATAGATATAAGGGAGCCAAACCCTCCCTGGGCAATTAACAATACAACACCTCAGCCTTCATACAATTGAATTCACAAAGACTGCAATAGTCTCATAGTCATACCTCGAGACACAAAACAACCATTGAACAAAACTTCAACCCAACGCAATGTGCTGCCACAGCAAACGCATCAACCGCCAAAACGGCATCATCCACACGCACCAACCCCGCCCAACACTCGCACGTATGCTCGTCGAGCATTTCCAGGCAACGCGCCAGCAGAAGAAAGTGATGGCCCAGACTTCTACTTTTGAGGCCGCTTCGGTAGGGGAATCGAAGGTTGTGAGAGGGGGGGTGGCATGGGTGGATGAGAAGCAAGGATTTCCGGTTCCTGGTGAGAGGGACGTGAGGAATGAAATGGGGGTGAGAAATGACTTGCCTAGTTATGGACAGGTTATGAAGGGAGTTTGAGGATGTGCTGGGGAGAGTAGTTTGGAGGAGAGGATGAAGCAGAGGGTGGATGTTGATGTATACGGATGATTTATAGGTCTTGGTTCTAAACTATTAAGTTTCACCATTTAGTCGCTCATTGGAAAAGTTATGAGATGAATGTTGCATGTTGCATACGGATCGCCTCATAAGCCTATGTACTCGGTATGGCACTGCCATATATGGAGGAAACTTGATGGTGCCCTGATCAAACAGTAGAATAGCGGAAGCTTCTTTATATATATATTGGCAAACTTCTGATCGACGATAATAGATTTACACACTCTGTATCAATGCGATCAAAAGTAAGTGAGCACCGGCAGGCACGTTGGCTTTACAAAGAAGTTCCAAGCACGAGATTGCGAAAGAGGGAAGTATTTGAAAGAAGAACTCGTCACTGGAGACATACATTAGTGAAACATATTATATAAGTCAAATATATATCTAGTCATTCGCCGGTTGGTTTGTTAAGTGGTCAGGTGAAATATAATAAGTAGGGCCCTGCTCAATCCACACCTATCATGATAGCAGCACGCACGTACTACGAGTAGCGCCAAGCGCTGCGCAGATCAAGCGTAACTAAACGCCCACCCCACCTCACCTCCACAGCCACCGTCGACCGAATATCGTACATCATCTTAACACTTCAACCTACCATCATTATTTTGGCTTCCGGGACAGAAGCTGTTCTTCTTGTCAATTTATGCATCAATACATTTCTAAATCCCCTCCCTGATTATAAATTTCAAATTCAAGGATCCCGTCCTTGCTTCTATTCATCCATTCAATCCGCAGGTGAAACGGCTTCACCGACGTAAGCTCATCATTACCAACACTAACGCTCAACCTTGACAGACACTTCTTTCCAAGCAAAGCAACAATGGATAAAAATGCAGGATCAACAGTCTCAGCAGATGCTATGCCAATAGAAACCGTCGAGTCTTCACAATCTGAAATCGAAATGAGCAATGACGTTAAACTGCCCCTCCGCACCGTCGCCCGTCCCCTCTCTGGAACCTCCTCAACAATCTCGAAAGCCCTCAGAAATACCTTCCAGCGCAGCCCCGCGAGATTTGGCAAATTCTCACTCCTTCCCGCCGAATTACGGCTAAAGATATGGAAAGCTGCTCTGGAGCCTCGCGTTCACGAACTCCACCCCTGCTCAAAACTGTACAACCAGCGCATGACATTCCGCTCCAACGCCTCACAAACACCCCCAATCTTCCACGCCTGCCATGAAGCCCGCCAGCTCGCGCTCAAACACTACCGACTGATGAGATATGATCCCGTGGGCGGAAACGGTTCTGGCAAGGGGATTCTGCGCTTTTACTTCTGCCCGAAGCTTGACACCCTGCTGTTGAATAGCTTGATGGGGTTGTTCGTGATGTTTGTGTTATTGGAGGAGCATACGAGTCATGTGGGCACAATGCAGGGCTGGGAGACTGTCGCGTTCGATGCGGAGAGGGCCCAGCTTATTACGCTACTGAGTGGGATTCCTGGGCACAATGTACAGCCTAGGATCAAGGAGCTATTCCCGGAACTCAAACGACTTGTTATTGCGTTTGATTACAAGAAGAATGGGAAGACGAGGTTCAGGACTAGTGTTTGGCCAGGGGAGAATGGGACCTCTTTGAAGTCGTTTCCATGGCCTGTTATTGAGACTTCCCAATTCGAGGAGATTTTTAAGCCGATGAGACAGTTTCTGGTTAATGACTATGAAGGGAAAGGGGATGTTCCTGAAATGATTGTTGCGAAAGTTAAGAGGAAGCAGTTTATCAGGGGGGACGTTAGGTATGTGTTTAGGAAGGGTTGTGCGATGTTGCGGATTCATCCGAGAGGGGTTTTCAGACGGATTTGATTTTGGAAAGGGAATAGGCAAGGGCATGGGCATATGCATAAGAGCATTGGAGTTCCGGGAGGAATAGGTTTATGCGGGCTAATGTCTGAGCGGGTCTATATAGTTTTGCGGCATTGGTAAGGTTAGGTTCATAGGATAATGACACAGCGGCACAACCAGGTGCAAAATGTATTGTGTGTAACTTTCAACCTATACGGGATCAAATTCTCCCTTTCCCAAACTCTACTCCTAAACCATCCTTCCCATATTATATCTACCACTTGGCCTCCTTCCGATCCAAAAAGCCCTTCAACACCGCGAGAATCGTCTCCAACGCCGAAAGCCACACCCGCAACCCAGCCAGCACCTGATCCTGGTCCACACCCAGCTTAGCATAAAAGTCCGCCCGGTAAGGACAGGCGCTCATGGCGGCAGAGAAAACAGGCTTGATTAAGAAGCCGTGGAAGGGTTTCAGGGTGTTGCCGTAGGCGTTGCGGAAAGATGTGGAGAGTTCTTCGGTGCTGACGGCAATATTTTGCGAAAGGGCTATGGATGTGAAATCTAGAGCGCTGGGTTGGAAGTTGAGTGTTAGATTGGGGTTGTGAGGAAGTTGGGGGGGGGGAAGGGGGGAAGAGGGGTTGTACCGAACGAGCCACACGAGACCTTCAGTCGCAGTGTGCTTTTTTGTCTTGAGCTCGTTGATTACTAGGTCTTGCAGGGTGGCGGATTCGAGGGGCGCTGCGAGTTGGCGGTCTCGGATTTTCTGGTCGTTGGGTTAATTGATTGATTCATTTAATGCCCCTCCTTCTGCTACGGCGGGGGAAAGAAAGCGTACCTTGATATTACCCAGCATGTCTGATTTGACGGGTGTGAAAGCTACGGATCCCAATACATCTGTAATACACCAATTAGTATGGTGTCGCAGAGAGAGGAGGGAAGGAGGAGCTACCAAAGAGCGTGGTAAGTGATTCGGCAGCTTCAAGGAATTCAGTCGTGGAGATGGCATTGTGCTTTTCCTTATCGACTGGGACGTCGGTGAAGGATTTCTTGAGGGTGTCGAGGAAGGTTCCTCCAGCAGGGTATGCATTTACGGTTGCCATTTTGTTTGTCTGTAGGATTTAATAATTTATTGAGAAGTTAGGTGGTTGTGAGATGGAGGGAGCTTGAGACGAGTCGGTGAGGAGGGGTACTATAGTGGAGGCCCACTCCGTGGACGAATCGGATTGGGCCCCTCTGGCTGACGTAAAAGGGGTCCTCTATTGTCCCTGAATAGTGAATAGCTTCACAAATTCCTTTATGGGAGGAACATTCTCATGTTTAATAGGATCATTTAATCGATGATCCATTTGCATTGGGTTTTTAATGCTGTCAGCAACTTGTACAGTAAACTCACTGCGGCCCCGAGACGAGGTTTGTGTAATATTAACTTGGCGCAGAAATTTGTTATTGGTGCTCCAATGCTCTTGCTCTTGATATATGAAGTACTCACCGAGGATAGATTTTATTGTATCATGCAGACCAAGAATTCACAGATCCTCGTTATCGGCTCAAGGAGCTTGACTTGATCCTCTCGCGCCCTCTAATTTCCTCTTTAGCATCCCACAGAAGCTCTCGAATAGCACACTATCATGACCTTTGATCCACCGAATCGTGACCATGTTCATAGCCTGCCCATCAACCGTTCCTTGGATACAAATCTTAAAGCCGAGTGCCAAATCATCTTCGTCATCTTCTTCCATTCTATTTTCGTCCTTCTTCATTATCTGCTGCCGACGAGCTGCTCGTGACCATACTGCCTTTTCACTGAAACCAAGCCCGGTTGCTATATCGCTTTTCCACATCCATTTTAAAGGAAGCTCAGCGAGTGTGTGGTTGATTAGCTCGCCAACGTGTCCAGCTTCGCCCCTATTCGTGAACTACATTGTCGTCAGTACATGAAATCGAACATGGCCAAAAATCGACATACTGGAACCTGATACTCAACCGGGAACGGCAACAGATTCTTTGGAATACTCGTTACCGCCCTAGTCAACTCCATCTTCGGCCTCAGATCTTCAAAACTCCACGCAATCCCCCACCTCCTCGTCCGACTCCCTTGCACAAACTCCGTAACAGCATAATTACCAATGCCCTCATCCCTCAATCTCTGCACCAGGACCGCTACACTTGAAAACTTGCCCAACATGGAAGTATACCACTGGACCCTGTCTTTGAGGATGAGACTTTCGGTGATCATGCGGGAGACAAATTGGACTTCTCCTCCGAGCGTTACCATTTCGGATTCTGAGCCTGTACAGGCTGTGAAGGGTGGTCTTTGCTTGGTGGCGGAGGACGTGAGCATATCGGCCTTAGACTCGTAAAATGGGGGGTTGCACATGCTAAAGTCGATACTGGAAAGGCTTCAGCACTGCACTCTATCAAATTACGGTTTGCAACTACCTTTCAAACTTCATCATATCTAATGGTAACAAAGGATCACTCTTCTGTGTTTGAAGAAGCTTGATCCGGTTCTGGAGGCCATTTTGCTGGACGTTTGTTTTGGCGAATTGCATGCTCTTCTCATCGATGTCTGAAATTGTCATTAGCACGTTTGTAGAATTAGAGCTGTAGAGTCTTTACCTGTACCAGCAAATCGCCAATTCGGACGCTGAGCACACCCTAGCATGGGATAGATACAGCTTGCTCCTGTTCCGATATCGAGACCCAGAACTTCCCGTTTGGGGTCATAGGTATCGGCATAATTATCACTAGTGGTATCCAAAAGGCCCTGAATCCATAGTAAGTAGTTCAAACGGTTCGGAACCTGTTCGTATAATGATTAAAAATGCCAGGAAGAGTCAGCTTCTAGAGACAACTTACGGGTGGGCAGAGCCGATCAGGTGGAAGTGAAATCTTGAGGCCGAAATCTCTCTTCAGCAACGACTTGGTAAGTTGTTGAACTGATTCGGGGTTACTGAAGTCGAGCTGGCCATTTAATTTCAACCTATTGCGCAGTTAGCATATATTCATAGTTCCGTTTCTGGTGTGTTGTGACAACGCATATTGGTCGTTGTGGTCACGATGCGACGAAGTAGCAAGCTAGGATATGATTGTCAACTTACGCTTTAGCAAACTCTGCATCTTGTAAGGCCAGAGCAGCGAAGTCTACGTCCTCTTTGTAAATGTTGTTGGTTGTTGACATTGTGTGAGCTTCTAGCAGTGGTGGGGTTTCGCGCGTTTGTTGGAAAGCTTCAAAATCTGGAGGGTGTGGATGCATAAATGTTAATTACTGCCGTTCGGTCAAAAACCACAGGTTAAAGTTAGTAAGATCATGAAAACTTGCAAAAAGGCACTGAAATTCATTACTTTTGGCAACACAAACTTGCAAATTAGGATATCATAGTGCCAAAGGCCAACGCTTTTCATAAGCTCTCTAAAAAGGACAACCGATTACTCCTCCTACCTCACACTTAAGACTTCTCATCACTATTTGGCTTCTGCTTCTTTGTAGCCGGTCCATCCGCAGTAGGCTCGCCAGTTGGTACCTCTGGAAGTTCAACCTTGCTGGCCTCCGCCTCCTCTTCAACTTCCTTTCCGTTCTCAGCGGATTCTCCGCCTTCGATGTCCTCCCATTCCTCTTCGGCTTCTGGTTCTGTAGATGGAAAAAAGATTCTATGCCATGTTAAAGAGTTACAGACTAGGGTGAGTATATCAACTTACGGTAGCCAGTGGTTGTAGGCATCCACATCCTTTGATACAAAGGTAGTGAAGACTACTTTCTCCAACTTGTCTCCATCCTCGCCTTCTAAGAATTCCTTGACGGCTTTGATAGCCACAGGTGCAGCATCGTGACTTGGATAGCCATAGACACCAGTACTCAAGGCACTGAACGCGATGGTCTTGCAATTATTCTGAACAGCCAGCTCAAGGCTCGTAGTGTAACATCCTGCCAAATCCTCCTCGCTCTCTGCCTTAAATTCTGAATTGTAGACTGGACCGACGGCGTGGATGACTTTCTTGCACGGGAGTTCGTAGGCACCAGTGATTTTCGCAGACCCCGTATCACAGCCGTTCAACTTCCGGCATTCCTTCAGTAGTCTAGGACCTGCAGCTCTGTGAATGGCGCCATCAACTCCTCCTCCACCAAGCAGAGAGTTGTTGGCAGCATTAACAATGGCGTCGACCTCAAGTTTTGTGATATCCCCTCGGATCAGGCCGATGCGATCGTTGAAAGACTGGGAAGGCTTTGGCGCTACAGCGGGGGAATCGAAAGTCGCAGGGGTGAGTTTCTTCAATCGATAGAGGAGAGACACGGTTGGGATCTCAGCAGCGGGAATGACACTCATGATTCTTCGGATGCCAAGCATGCGGTCTTGTTTTTAACGTTTTGGTAGAGAAAAGATAAATGAAGAAAGAACGATGGAGGGAGGGAGGAAGGGAAGGGGGGTTTCTACAAGGCTGATAGCGGGGCACCGCACCGCCTTGCTAGAAACGGCGCTAAAAATCAGGCTGTCGAAATTTGGTGGATTGACTCACACGACTCGGAAATCCAACAAGTACTCGAGTAAAGCACCCCGCCGCTGTTTACTTTCCCTAGAAACCTCAAAACCACAGACTCCTTCTTATTTACGAGTACACGATTCGCCCCAATTGTTCTCTATACTATCGCGCAATCATGGCCGACGCAATCACAGAGCAAACTGCTAAGCTCCAGTTGGATGAGGAGACTGGCGAAATGGTTTCAAAGGGAGAACTCAAAAAGCGAATAGCAAAGCGGGCAAAGAAAGCAGCTCAAGCCAAAGCAAAGTCAGATGCACCAGCAAAGGCCCCAGTTACACCTAAGCCCATAGCAAAGCCCGAAGAGAAGATCTCAGAACCGACCGCCATGTTCACCCAAGGCTTTCTCGATGAAGTCTACAAAGAGCGGCCTGTAAAGCCTGTAGTCACACGATTCCCGCCAGAACCAAATGGCTATCTGCACATTGGACACGCCAAAGCAATCGCTGTCAATTTTGGGTTCGCGAAATTCCACGGAGGAAAATGCTATCTACGGTTTGACGATACGAATCCAGAAGCAGAAGAGGAGAAATACTTCGTGGCGATCAAAGAAATGGTGAAATGGCTAGGATTTGAGCCTTGTGCCGTTACTTACTCTAGCGACAATTTCGACAAATTGTACGCCAAGGCAGAGAAACTTATCAACCGCGGATTGGCCTATGTTTGCCATTGTGGAGGTATGATAACCCAATTTCTTTCGAGGAAAACACTAACGATACTACAGATGCTGAGATCAAGGCTCAAAGAGGAGGTGAGGCACATGGACCTCGATTCAGATGCAAGCATGCCGATCAAACCGTTGAGCAGAACATCGAAGAGTTCCGGGCCATGCGAGATGGTGAATACAAACCTAGAGAGGCCTTCTTACGTATGAAGCAAAATATTGAAGACGGAAACCCTCAAATGTGGGACTTAGCCGCGTACAGAGTCCTAGACGCTAAGCATCACCGAACTGGGGATACCTGGAAGATCTATCCTACCTACGACTTCACACATTGCTTATGCGATAGTTTCGAAGGCATCACCCATTCGTTGTGCACTACCGAATTCATCCTCTCTCGGGTTTCATACGAATGGCTGAACCAGAGTTTAGAGGTGTACGAGCCTATGCAGAGAGAATATGGACGCCTCAACCTCACTGGCACGGTTCTTTCAAAACGAAAGATCCTGAGGCTCGTTACTGAGAAGTACGTACGAGGTTGGGATGATCCGAGACTTTACACCCTTATTGGAATCAAGAGACGTGGTGTTCCACCTGGTGCAATTCTCGAATTTGTCAACGAACTCGGAGTTACGACTTCCGCGACCAACATCCAAATTGTAAAGTTTGAGCAAACAGTTCGACGATATCTAGAGCGCACCGTTCCTCGACTGTCGCTGGTCCTTGATCCAATTCCAGTAGTCATAGAAGATGCTGAAGAGATTGAAGTCGATGTACCCTTTTCCCCCAAGATTCCCGCTATGGGCAGCCACAAAGTCAAGTTGACGAAGACAGTCTATATTGAGAGAAGCGATTTCAGAGAAGTTGATAGCAAAGACTACTTTCGTCTAGCACCAGGGAAATCTGTTGGCCTACTTCAAGCACCATATCCAATCAAGGCAACCTCATTTACAAAAGATGGCGACAAGGTCACGGAAGTCCGTGCCATCTACGATAGAGACGGAAAGAAGCCGAAAACATTCATTCATTGGGTTGCAGAGGGATCAAGAGAAGTCGAAGTACGGATTCACAATGCGCTTTTCAAATCAGAAAAGCCAGAAGATGCCGAAGGGGGTTTCTTGAACGACATCAATCCCAACAGCGAAGAAATCTGGCCTCATGCTGTGATCGAATCAGGTTTCGACGAAATCAAGCGCCGTGCTCCATGGCCCGAAGCGGCTGGAGAGTCAGAATTGGGGAAGGGAGGTCTAGAATCTGTTAGATTTCAAGCAATGCGGGTAGCATATATGGTAAGTTGATCCCTTTTTATCCGAGATATCGCTAAAATGTCATAGGCAATGGATTCGGATAGTACAGACGATAAAGTTGTCCTAAACCGGATTGTTAGTCTGAAAGAAGATGCCGGAAAATAGATTATATAGAGTGGTTCAGAGTAAGTGTTTGCAGAAGCATTCCTGGGAGTCAATGGGAAGTGAGTAGACATGTTTGCGAGGCGCTACATTAGACGAGGAATGAATTAATGATACGAATTGGCATTTTTTAACGCGAGGACTGCATTTTACTAGCAAGGTTGGCTCCAAGAATAAAAGAATCCTTTGTTAACCTGATTCTGTAGTGCCTCTGGCCTCGGAATTCCTAGCTGTCGCATGATTCGGTCGCAGAATACCATCGTGATTGGGACAAAAGCACAACTTTGGAAGATATGCTCGCAGCCAGAATTATTATGGGATCATGATCGCCCTTGACAAAGAGGATGCACCTAATATTCGGAAATTTGAGGCTAAAGACGCTTCTTCACCTCCTGTAGCTTCTTAGGTATTTTCTTTGGGATCTCGAGAAAAAAGATTCTTAGAAGTTCTGATTCAATTGGAATACCACGTCTTTATCGGTCTCATTAGTCGCCATTATGAGCAACGTGAATCGATCACCCATCGCTCGCCGAGCTGGGCAGCAGAATGGTTCCCGACCAACAGGGACTGAACGCTCCAATGCAATAAGGCGTGCCGGACCGTATACACCACCAGGGCCTAGCTCGGCGCCAGGGGCCGGTCACATCAGGAGAAGGCCCGTCGCACATCGCGCAGCACCCCCAATAGCGGACGTACTGGATACTCGAGGCATTGAGGGAGAACGGTCAGAGAATTTGGGGTTTATTACTGAAACCCTAGCGGCTTTTGATATACAAGCCGCAGAAGTAGATCGACTTGCTGATTTGGGCAGAGCAGAGCATGCGAGAAGGAACAAGGTAAGTTGAGAACTAAGATGCTTACCATAAATGAATCACATGGGTTCTGCTTCGCCTCAAAGTCGGCATTGATTCCCTCTTTTCAAATCTCAAATATATCTTATAATCAGTGCTGACTCTGCGATTGTTATAGGTTGCAGAGGATGGCCCTGGTTCCAAACCCGAATCCGGGGAACATGTAGCAAGTATAACAGATCTACTCCATAACGACACGCTGGAGGAATTACTTGAACGCAATGAAGCAGCGCTTAGGATGTCAGAAACAATGGCGGGGATCCGGGAGTATTGGGCCTCGAATCGCACAGAATGGCGAACGAGACGTGATAAGCTATTGGATGTCGAGGAAAAAATAAAGACTTTCAAAGAGTGGTTAGACTGGCCTCGATTTGGAGACGGAGGCCATCACGAGGAAGGACTTCGATGGAGCCAATCACTCGCGCTAGTGGAGCAAGAAAAGGAAGGGATTCTGCAAGAATTCCAGAAGAACAAAAAGGTTCTGCGACTTCTACTAGAACGGTTTAGGATTTTAGATGCTGAGGCCGAGCGTCTGGTGCAGCGACCTGAGCCAGAACAGCAGGACCCGGCTATCAGAGATCAGCTATATACAGATGCACAAGATGTGACCCAATTGCCCTGGTATAACGATCCTGAAAGGGGTAGAGAGTGGTGGCTCCAACATGTCGTTGAAGATATGGGACGCCGTCAGACAGCCCTTGCTTCATCATTCGCCAGGACCGCAGCTATCGTTACGGATATCCAGAAATTGAGAATCGCTACAACAGCACGAATCGAACAACGAAAGATCAATGATGTGAACAATGAGAGGGAAGCCGACAAAAAACTACAAGTCATGTATACAGCATTGGCGCACAATGTTCAGGGACAACCTGTCAACGAGGAAGAAATGGCTACCCTAATGAACCCCATCAAAGATCTCAGAGACACTCAACTGGCTCAACTGAGGCGAGAAAACGACGAAGATGCAGATCTCTTAACGGCTTACGACGTGAGAGAACGGTACGGAGAATACGTCAAGGCGCTCGCTGATGACTTCTCGGAAAGATACGGGACAGTGCTCGCGTTGCTCCAAAACTACGAGGAGAAAATAATGGAACGTTATCCAAATGAGCCATACGTACTTAACTCACTGTATATGGTGGCGAACACTCTCCACGAACGAGCACAAATAATGACAGCACTAGGTCGCTTGGCAGAAAGAACCCAGCGGCGTACAGACATATACGGAATGGTCAAGCTACACTTTGAACAGAATACATGGGCTCCGGAAGCTCTGCAAAACCACACTTCGTCACAAATACTCTCCGTATGCCAAGACGAGCTGTCAGGCCTTGGAAATTTGTTGGCTCGTCTTCAATATGCGGCCAGCAATCCAGATGAAGCGTCAGGCTATGATGAGAATCCAAGACATCCTAGTCCTCCGCCTCCAACCCTCTCGTTCCCTCAAGCCACTAGAAGCCGCATGTGGCAAAGCAATCGTATAAAGGAAGCCAAAGATCTCCTCGATCAAGCACACGCCGTATATGACAATCCAGACGCAGTCTCAGAAACACAGGCTTCACCTGGGGCTACCAGATGCGCGCCTTCTTCGACTCCCCCGACATATTCCCCCTCTTCCGAAAAACCAAGCTCGACCAACCCAAAGCAGCATTCCACAAATTCGTCAGCTCACTAATAAAAGGCGGCATCCCCGAGGCGATCACGTACGCCTGGTTGCAGTACTGCAACTACAACAACGTGTATTTCTCCTCGGGTATTCTCATCGACCGCGTCACGGTCCGAGAGACGGGCTGGGAGTGTTGCTACGAGAAGCCCATTGCCGGCTTTGAGAGGAAGATTCCGCCGGATTCCTATCCCCTACCGAGAAGGCCCGGCGGCCCTAGTCTTGCGAGGCTCGAGGAGATATTCGTTCTACACAGCCACATGTTCCTCCGTCCGGGCGTCCCGGGAAGGGCATGGCCTTGGGATATCCGAAGGCTACGCGCATGCGTTAACGAGTACCTACCCCCACTCTCTAGCGCGTATAGAGCGATTCTGGGCGGCGCGTACGAGGTTGAAGATATGGAGCTGTATCTGACCTCATGGCTGCAGAGAGGGAAGTTCTTCGTCCGAGAATGCGAGTAAGTGTTCTCTCCTTCTTCTCTTCTTTCATTGCCCCTCTCATACACATCTAACATGTAGGTAAAAAATACTAATCACACACAGCGTCGACCCCGACGGCGACTGCACCACACTAATCCGCCTCGACTCAGGCTGGTCCATTCCCCCCACCCTGCACCGCGCGCTTCCTCACGCGCATCAACTGCAGCACCGCGCAAGATGTCGCATCCCTCTTCCGTAGCATATCCGCGTCCTCGCGCACCGAGTCCAGCCTCTACACCATCCTCATCCTCAAAGAACACGCCGCCCCCCGACAAGCCCCACACCAGTCCTCTTCTTCTTCCGGTATCGGTAGTTTTCTGAACCGCTTCCGCAGTGAGCCCCGGCCGTCGCCGTATCGGCTGGGAGGGGAAGGGAGGGAGGAGTGGGGGTTTATGAGGGGGGATTGGCATTTGTTCATTAGGTGGCTTAGTGCGTGCGTGGATGGAGATGATAGGAGTTTTATTATTTTGCAGCGGAGTGGACAGATTGACCTTCCACCTTGATTGTTTCTGGAAGTGGGGGCCGGATCTTTCGTGGTGTGCTGGTGCTGGTGCACCTTATACAGTTTCTGGACTTTATTTGCAGAGTTGATTAAAAGTTTGTTATTAGGTGATCTTGGAGAGGTGTTTCTTTGGAATATTCAGCTTTCAACTGATGTTTAGATCCATTATTGGGGTATCTGGGGAGTGCGTGTGCGTGCTCTTCAGGGGCTCTAGCGAGGCTAGTCATGTGTCAAGTATGAGAAAGCATTCCGAAGTGCTGGAGACATCATTTTGGAAATCTGGCATGAGACTGACATGAAAATCAACCTTCATTAATATATCATTATCCAATACTTCCTATCTCCTTACAAGATCGACTCTTCGTGTCCCCACCTACACATTCCCCTTTTCTAATAACTTCACAATCAACTCCTTCAACTCGCCCACCTCGCCCCTGAGCTTCTTAACCTCAATCGTGGCGGCATCCTGCTCAACATCAGGCTTCACACTCTGTACAGTCTTATCCCATCCCTCGCCCTCAAAATCCACCTCTCCCTCCATTTGCTCCCATTCCTCCACCGTATCATCATCATCCTCCCCTCTCTTGCGATTACTCTTCACATTCTTCGCACTGCGCGTCTCAAAATACGCAGCTACGAACAAGAGTGGACTGTAGACAAGCGCCATAACGTAGTCGTTGAGTTTGGCGTACTTGTGTTTAGGAAGCCACCACTCGAACGGAATTATGAGGAAGAAAACCTCAATGAGGTTGAGCGGCGCAATGAAGACATTCTCGTCAGGCGCGCGTACGAATTGCATGGTTTTCTGCGCAAAGAGAGCCATGTATTCGTCAATTGCATTATCGGTGATATCCTCATATGCAGAATTGTACAACGCGATCAGGATATTAAGCAAGACCACCATGACGAGGAAGGTGAAGATGTAGTAGAGGATGATTCCGAATGGAGGAGCGAAGGCGTCAAAACCGCTGAAGTCGGGGGACTGCATGATGGCATTGGCCATTGCTTGCAGAATAAAGACCGTGGCGTCAGCGTTGGAGTCAGCGTTATCCATGCCGATGAAAGCTTGCAGGAAGCCGACGATTATTACGAATAGGAGAGCGAAGAAGATTAAGGATTCTTTCATCATTACTTTGAGGACCACAAGCATGGCGCCGAAGAAGCGTATTGAGTCGAGGTAGAGGAGAAGGCGCATCCAGAACATGGGTGCAGAGAAGGCTGTTTGAGGTTAGGATTTGCTTGATAGCGGTTGAGGTATGCTTACCTAGAAAGTTGTAGCTCAATTCGTTGAATTTCCCTCTTTGCCCATCATCATCTTCAAGCGGATGGCTTAGTGCAACGAACCTCGTAACCAAAGAAGTGGTCAACAAGCCATACAAAATCAGATTAAACACATTCCAAAAACCAATATAATATCGTCCCACCTTCCAGAACTTCGAAAACTCGTCACACAAGAAGCCAAAGGTGAAGATATAAAGCAGGATTTCCACGATATCCAGATCTCCTTTCGGATTTACCGTATTGATAGCCCCAGTATAAAGTCCCAAATAAATCAGCGAGAAGATAATCTGTGTAGCATTTTGGTAGACAGGAGCCCTCATCCGGTCCGGGTCAACGTGTGTCCAGTAATTCGTATTCGACTTCTTTTTGTAGTCTATGAACATAGATGGATCGTTCTCATCTTGCACCAACCAGCCGCGCCATAGATAATTGACGCATTTCTGATACCCCGAAGAGCCAGTAACTCTTAATGCGTGAAGGTCGACAGCGCGTTCAATGACGTTTGCAGGAGTGGTTTGCTCGCCGTCTATCATGATCGCGTATCTCTTCAGCAGTACATCTTGCAAGAGATAATCCTGATTATCTTCAGTCTCGATCCTATTCCAGTTATCAGACCGAATGGTCCCATTATTTTCTTGTGCGAGGCAAACTTACAACTGCTTCGCAATAACCTCACAAGCCGTCGCGCGCACATTATGTAGATCCGCATCCCACAGTTCAAGCATCGCCTGCTTCTTAAACCACCGCTTGTTTACTAGGAGCGCGTATACCACACACGCAGCATATTCCTGACTGCCTGCTTCCTTTGCAGCTTTCACCACCTTGGGCGTGATAATGCGACTATGGGCGCGTGTGATGCTCTCGGGTTCGAGCTCGCAGGGCACACATTCTTCGATTAGGTAGCGCAGGCGGATTGCGATTTTTGTTACTTCGGGGGCAGGGACTGCGGAGGGGATTGCGTCTTCGTGGTAGGTGGGAAGGACTATCTGTGTATCAGCAATTGCTTCTTTAGGTTCGATTGGAAGGGGAAACGGAAACGTACGACGACGTGTTTCGTCTCTCCAGCGATGTTGGTCTTGTCTGTGGACAGTAGGTATAATTAGCATCTACGGTAGCAGAGTTGGCGGGGCATCTCCTAATCGATGGATGGATGTACTCACGCGCCATCAAGCCCGAATAGCTTCTTCCATTGTACCATGTTGACGGATTGCGATGGCCTTCCTGAATGGTAATTGAGTGGGAAGGAAAAAGATAAAAGTCTGCGGTGTCCGAGGGACAATACTGTAGTAGTGTAGCTCTCCACTTCCAACTCTGATGCTTGGTTTCGTATTAGGTAGGTAGGCTTGGCATTGGTAGCTTGGCTGTAGATACCGTATAATTACTGTACGATGACGTAGGATTTGTTTGGTTTAGAAGAACTCGACGCTATTACTAGTAACTTATAACAAGCTGTTAATTAAGAAGTAAAATACTGCGGCTGATTATGAAGTATAGTATAGTATTAATATCTATCTATTCACTCTTTTGTCGCTCTCGCTTAATAGAATACTGTACAACCAAAATAGTTTTCTATGGTACAGTCTATCTTCTCGATATACAAACTAATTATGCCCGTCCCCTCGCCGCGAGCTTCGCTTCTAACTCCTCAATAACCTTCGCTGCCTTCTCCTCCTCTAAGCGGTAAACCTCAGCTTCTGCATCCGCAATTCTCTTCTGCTCCCTTGCCAGCTGATCTGGTCTCCTAATCGCAATATCCTTCGGCCTGTAGTCACTGAAGAGGAACTTCAAGACCTTCTCAATCACGAAGCACCCGAGGTAGTCGACAATCATAGTGGCAGTCATGGTCCACTTGAAGTCTGACGAGAAAGGCACGAGGCGCATCTTCTCGTTGAGTTCAGGGATAAATTCAGTGGAGCAGGAGAATGCGATGCCTGTGACACCTAGGATACCCCAGTACATGCCTCGGTTTTCTGACAGAGATTCCCTGAATGGCCTGCCTTGGTAATTGATAGCAAAGGTTGAGATTTGCTGGATGAGTTGCAAGAGATAGACGGCACTGTTCAATAGGGAAGGGGCAAATTCCCCTTCGAGATCGACCGCTTCGGAACGTCTGAGCTTAGAATTAGCTTTTGTCAAGTTGGAACGCATTTCTAGACTTACGGAGCAAGGCGTTCGCAGAAGCGAGCGATATAAATCAATGTAACAATGTGAACGGCAAATTGACCAAGAATAGATCCAATGATGTAAAAGTTGAAGATGTTTGGTTGGGGGCGTTCCTTGGAGAGACCATCGACAGACTTGGCTCTTGAAATAGACAAGAAGCAAACACTCATAAGCATTCCGCTGATCGTAACTTGGCCATCTCCAAACTTGATTCCTTCAAGGTAAAGCACACTAAGACTGTATGCACTGATGAGACAGTTGAGCGCGAGGATTTTGTACATCTGGATCGTTGCTACAAGTGTACATCGTCCTTGGCGGATGATGTTTGGAATGGCGATAACGTTGCTCAGCTTACTGGTGAAAGGCGCAGCGACTGAAGCATCACCGAGCTTGATAGTGGGTGGTTCATCCTCGTCAAGGTCTTCCATCATGCTTTGTGTGAATTTTTCGGTCAAATTAAGAGCCTTTTGCTGCGCTGGAGACGGGGTTTTGTCCTTCTTTTTGCCATCTAGAATTGCTTGCGCTCCGGGAGAGGTGATAGTTTCAACACCGTTCGATTTATCTCCCACGGCGGTCTCGGTGAGAGCTTGCGCATTTCCTTTCCTCTCCAGCTCACGTTGCATGGCAGCCGCGTGATGGGGATTTGATGGTCCTGGAGGGTATAGATGGGCGATAGCAACAGGGACAGGAGGATCTGGCTGGTTGAAGCGCTTCATCATGGAACGTTGCTTCTCATACAAATCCTTCATCTTGGTATTTCTCCAATGTTCGGCGATTTTGTTGAGGTCATCTTGAGAACCATTAAGCAATGCCACACCAATATGGGCTTGCTTAAGAGCACCAACATCGTTTGTGCCATCGCCTGCCATAAGTGTATAGTAGCCGAGGTCCTTGAGACCCATCAAGATTTCTTCCTTTTGTTTCGGCGATACACGGGCATATACCCAGGTATAACGATAGATAGATGACAAAGCGACTTGTCCCTTGAACTTTGCGAGAGCATACCCTGTAACACAGAGGTCGTTAGATTGAATGATTTTAGGGTCGATAGGCTTAGTTGGATCCACAGGGATGCTGATTTGGTCATCAACGCTTCTCCAAACAAGATTTTCTCCTGAATCATCGTTCTCTGGAGCATCTAAGATCAAAACGTCTCTGTCGACAATTTCGACTTCGTGGGCGACATGGCAAGCTGTCAGAGGATTGTCTCCAGTAATCATGACCACACGGTGACTGCTCTCATTAAGCATTCGTACCGATGACTTAGCATCGTCCTTTAGAGGACAGTGCAAAACCAAGAAGCCAGCAAAATGTAACTCCGCCTCAACATTTTCTCGTTTGAGCTCGTTGATCTTACCAGAGCCAAGTTCTGAATCGGTGGAAAGATGCTTGTAAGCCAGAGCAAGGACACGAGACCCTTTTCTTGTAAAGTATTTGAATGTCTCTTCATAGTCTGCGGGAACCTTAACCAGCATTTTCATGATGGTTTCAGGAGCGCCTTTGACACCGACGAAGGTATTTCTAACTTTCTTTCCGGACTGTGGGTTCAGTACCGTGACGGTTGCCACGGAGCTTTGACGCTTCAAGGCCGAAGAGAATTGGAATCTGCGCTTAATTTGGACGCTGTTGGAAGAAGTGGCAAATGACATGCCTTTCATTGCCGTCATGCTCCGGCTCGTAAGAATATCGTTCTTTCCGAGAGTCCAGCCCAGAGACGTCAAAGTAGCTTTCTCCATAGGATCCCCGACGATCTCGCCCTCATCCAATTTTACAAGAGCGTGAGCAGTAGCGAGAACAAGGGTCGTTTCTAGACCAGCTTCATGGACAGTAGTGATATTACTATGGGCACCACCATTTTCGCGAGGGGTGTCAGTACCGGAGTGACCAAGGCCAAGACCAGCAATTCCCTCCACGACTAAATCCTCTCCAGTCAAAGTTCCAGTCTTGTCGAAACAAGCAACGTCGACTCGTCCAGCGAAAGGGATACGGAAAGGTTCGGTACAGTAGATGGCGTAGCGGCTGAGAGCTGCAAGACTGGTGTTCACGGCGAGACTAAGCTCCATAGGAAGTTCTGGAGGCACAACACTAGTGACAATCAAGACACAATCAAGGAGAAGCTTGGACCGCTTCCTGTCCTTCTTCACACCATCGTCCCAGACATACCAAGAGGCTGCGATTGCGAAAATCAACAGGAACAAGATGAAAAGTAAGGCTTCTGCGTTGTTGGCGGAAACACGCTCAGTGGAGTAGATCATGGTGCGAACTAAGCTTCCCTGAGAAGTCTCAAAACCAGTCTTTACAACGATAGCCATAGCGCCATTATCTGGAGGGAATGGAACGCCTGAGGCAACCTTGGGCCTTTCCTCGTCAGTGTTTCCATGAGTGATTTGTAGCACCTTGGTGCCGCCGTATAGGAATGCATTCTTGTCTAGTCCTTCAGGCTCAAGCAGGGCATCGCCGGGTCTGAGCTGGACGGAATCCTTCAAGAGTGGGGTACTTTCTCCTGATAACATAGCCTCGTTCACAATAGCACTTCCTTCGACCAAAACCATATCGCAGGCAACTCCACTGTCTTCCTTGGTACGGCCAACAGAAACCAAATCCCCGGGGAGAAGTTTGTCGCTCTGAGTTTCCAACCATTTATTTTGTCTATACACATAGATGTCGTATGGCTTGATGCTCATTCCGCGGAATTCATTCAAGGTTCTTTGACGTTGCCAAACAACAGTGCTCTCGAATCCGACAAGCATGAGGAGGGTGAACAGCGAAAAGTACCAGTAGTCATCCAACATCCACAATCCAACACAGAATATCTGGAAGACGAAGAATGGGGCGACCGCATGCTCCTTGAACAATTCGACAAAGGTTGGGACGGGAATATCGAAGGTGTTGTCCCCATAATGGTGCTGGATTCTAGAGAGCTCAGAAGCAGACGATATACCTCTCGAATGTTGAAATTCTCGTATGTAAGGCTTTGGTTCGGCATCGAGGGGGTATATCAAAGGTGCGAAAGAGTTCGTGACCGGGTCGTAAAGGAATCGACGCTTTTGAAAGAGGAAGGAGATATTGGTTTTGCCCCCAGCCTGAAAATGTTAGCAGACGCGTCTACCTTTGAGGCCTAGAGAGCGATCTTACATTGTCTCTCTCAATCTTGCAGATATCTGCAGAACCCGCATTGACAGCGGGCAGAAGCTTAATTAACTGTGCATCCTGGACGGATTTCGCGGATTTCGTTGTGAAGAGGGCTTTAAGGTTGATATTCCAGTTCGTGCTCAGCCAAACTAAGCTTTGCAGAGTGATGATGGTTCCGCACCAGACAAAAGTCCACTCTTGTCCACCAATATGCGTGTTATAGAGGTCCTCGGAGAGATAATAACGTAGAAATATTGGCCAGATGATAACAAAAGGCCACACATAGGCATGTAGTTGAAGTGGTACTGCTTGTGATTAGAATTTTGGATGGGAGTTCGAAGCTTGATTTGATGATCACGCACAAGGATTATGTAGAGTCGCAGATGCGATCAACGGGTTATCCACCAGAGGAGCCATTGCGCATTCTAGAATAGAGATGCGCGTCGAGGCTGGGAATCGAAGAAGTGAAGTGAAGATGTGGCTTCGAGAAGAAAAGGACAGGACGGCCTGTGCTATCGGGTTGATATCGGCCGTGGCCGGCGATTCTTAGTCAGCATAGAACTCTGAGATGCTGCGTTTGCGTTGGCTTCTTTTTGATGCTGCCGATTCTCTCTCTTCATGCATCATTCAACGACAGAAAAGAGGACGGAAGATACACAGGGTCGTTGTTTACGACCAGTAGTCCTTTCAAGTGTCTAGCACTAATGTCCTGTTTCTCTTCCTTTTCCTCTTTCTCTTCCTCTTCTCCTCTTGATTCGCACTCTATATCGCGTTTACAGCGTTTACCCCTTTAATTTTTCAACAAGCTTGCGAGCACTAATGGGCCAGTTTCTTCAACCTTTTGCTCACCTGGTGCTTTCTCACCAGAACTGCTACAGGATTGTCCTTGGTCTACCTGCTATTTATACTTTTGTTACAAAGGTCGCAGAAGAATCAGCCGCAGTACTTCAGGACGTTGGCTGGATCTGGGCAGAGCTTGCGGCATCTCCTCTTGGTACTTCTGTGACTCGAGAGTCATCTGCAGTGAGTAGAGAGGATACCGTCCTTACAGAACCCTTAAGGCAACTCCCACATGAAAAGACATGACCCGTAATTTGGAACGTTCTCGTTTACCTTGTTTTTCTATCTTCGCTAATAAGGTATAAGAACATAAGTGATCTAGGTAGGTATTTACAAATACCTAGGTAATCAAACATAGGTAAGGTAAGGATAAAGCCCGTATTATATCAGCTAATGTTATTTATGGCTAAAACCTGTGCGAGGCATCATATACACTGAGTTACTGTATGCTCTGCAACTGTCCCCAGTGAATAAGCTTACAGATGAATGCAGAGTGACATCACACGCCAAGCTTCCACCTATCCAAAACCTGGTCAACGACAACGACCCCGCTACTCTCCTCCCCTCCGCTTCCGAGGAACATCGAGAACGAGGGACTATACAAGTAATACGTCTGCACATCAACTCGACTGTAATTTGTTTTACAGATACGCGTGTGAGACTCCTTTCTCCTTCGCACATCTTCTCCTTCCCCTTCGCAACTATGACTGCTGCAGGACCAGCAGATGGCGGCTCCAACCCAGAGCACTTGAAGGACAAGTTGAAGCATCCGTTCAGTGGTCTGCGAGAGAAGTTGAAGGATACCAAGCTCCATGATATTAAAGTCAGCCTTAGCCATAAGAAGTATGCTGATGTCCCAACGTAACTTACCTTCGAGCCTCAAGATGCTGACCCCGAGTAGACATGAGCTTGGCAAGTTTGGAAATTTGGTAAGCCATGCTATGAGATATTGCTCCTTCTAGCCCCAACTAATGATACTTCCAGATCAACCCAAATCATCGACACGACGAAAAGCATGAAAAGGAAACTGATGACAAGAGAACCAAGATTGGGGAGGGACACAGATTCCAGTCTTTTGCCCCAGAGCGCCCAGGGAATAACATCAAGTGGTACGTTGATGGCCGAGATTACTACTGGGTAAGTCCATAAAACTGATGGTTCCCTCCTCCTTTCTGATGAATTTTAGGCTGTCTCGATTGCACTCGAGCGAGCGAAGGAAACCATATATATTGAGGATTGGTGGCTATCCCCCGAGTTGTTTATGCGCCGACCCCCATATTTCAACCAGGAATGGCGTTTAGATCAGATCCTCAAGCGGAAGGCGGAAGCTGGAGTCAAGATATTTGTAATTGTCTACCGTGAGGTCGAGGTGTGTGCTCTGCCAATATATTCGCCGAATTTATGCTAATCGGAATTTCCTACCAGGCCGCTCTTACTTGCAATTCTGAACATACGAAGCATGCCCTCCAAGCACTCTGTCCGAAAGGAACTCCTGGATATGGAAACATTGTCGTTATGCGACATCCTGATCACAATGTTCTCGAGAACGCCGCGGACATGACATTTTACTGGGCGCATCACGAAAAATTCATCGTCATTGACTATGACACTGCTTTCATTGGTGGTTTGGACTTGTGCTTTGGGAGGTGGGATAACCATCAGCATCCTCTTGCGGATGTCCATCCAGAGGGAGTGCAACATGAAGTTTGGCCCGGCCAAGATTTCAATAACAATAGAATTATGGATTTTCAGAGCGTCGGCGATTGGAAGTCAAACGAGCTGTCAAAAGCTGAATATGGACGTATGCCATGGCATGACGTGGCGATGGGAGTAGTTGGGGATTGTGTCTACGATATCGCCGAACATTTCGTCCTCCGCTGGAACTTCGTCAAGCGTGACAAGTATAAGCGTGATGACAGGTACGATTGGTTGATCTTAGAAGGCCGAGATGGTCAAGACGAAGACTTGGTGGGAGTCCAGAGACCTTCGCATCCGGTGGGAGAATACATTAAACATCCGCTATCACCCCTAAGCAGCAAGACTTTGGGCGACCAACAGGGAACCGTCCATGCCCAGATTGTTCGAAGCAGTTGTGATTGGTCAAGCGGTATTCTTACAGAGCATAGCATTCAAAATGCATACAGCGAACTCATTAGAAATGCGCAGCATTACGTATACATAGAGAATCAGTTCTTCATCACAGCCACAGGAGATCAGCAAGCACCCATCAAAAACACCATTGGAAAGGCCATTGTTGAAGCGGTTGTCAGAGCTGGAAAAGAGGGCAGGAAATTCCGTGTCATCGCAGTCATTCCTTCGATCCCAGGATTTGCCGGTGACCTTCGGGATGATGCAGCAATGGGAACGAGAGCTATCATGGACTATCAGTACAAATCGATCTGTAGAGGAGAGCACTCAATTTTCGAACAAATCAAAGCTCAAGGAGTTGACCCAACGAAACACGTTTTCTTCTTCAACCTGAGATCATATGATCGATTGAACGTCACACCTGCCATCAAGAAGCAGGAAGAGGAATCTGGCGTCAAGTATCAGGATGTACAGAGGGCCGAGGCTGAAGAAATCATGGACACTGGTATTCACGGTTCGAAGGACGATGAGGATGGCGCAGATACGCATATGGGTCAGAAAGCTTCGGTTAAGGACAAGCTAAATCCCCTGAAAGATGATGCTGGTAATGAGTCAGCGGAGGAGAATACAGATGCTAAGCGCCAGTTTGAGGAAAAGCGTGAGGCCGCTGGTGCGGATCAAGGCATCGCGAGTGTTAGCAGCGTCGCAAAGAATGCGATGCATGGTGAAGGAAGCCTCGTTGACGAGAAATGGGAAGGTGACCTCGAAAACGAAGTCGACAACTGGATTCAAGAGGAGTTGTATATCCACGGCAAAGTTTTGATTGTTGATGATAAGACTGTCATCTGCGGTAGCTCTAACCTCAATGATCGAAGTCAATTGGGCATCCATGACAGCGAGTTATCTATCGTTATGACGGATAGAAAGACGATGAAGAGCACGATGGGAGGCCAAGAATACGAAGCGGGCGTCCACGCCGCAACACTTCGAAGATACCTCTGGAGAGAGCATCTCGGTTTGCTCCCCCCTCAAGAGCTCGATGCATCGAAAGACCCAAACGCGCAACCACCAGATGTACCAGTTGACCCACAAGAAAACGAGACCTATGAATTCGTCGCTGATCCCCTCGGTGACGAGCTATGGGATATGTGGACATCGCGCGCAAGCAAGAACACTGAGATCTTCAGACAGCTTTTCCACGCGGATCCTGATGATTATGGTAGGTGCCCCCATTTTCTTTCCTTTATTCTATAATACTAATATATATACTGCAGTCAAAACATTCGACGACTACGACCAATTCCTCCACCGCAAGGGCGTCAAACAAGGCCATATCTATGACAAGATGACCCCGCCCAATGAGATCCGCAACAAGCTGGACCAGATTAAAGGTCATCTTGTTTGGATGCCGCTTGAGTTCTTGAAGGATGCGCCGATGGCGGAGACGGGATTGCAGGTTAATTCTTGGACGGAGAGTATTTATACCTAGCCGGGGGTGCGCTTTATTAACTAGCTGCATAAGGCTTAGGCACGAAGTTGATAATCTTTGGGGTGTGGGAAATCGTGGGGTTTTATCTCAGTTGGGTTTATATTTTAGGGGCTCGGCCTGGAAATAGCGTCTGGAAATAGCTAAACGACTTATGTTTTTAACCTAGGGCTGTAGAGATCTTGCCTATTTCACTTTTATGTTATGATCGGACAAACCATTCGAGTGAGGGTTTCTGTTCGCCAGGAGAGGAAGACGTAGCTTAACCAGTCATTTCTATAAATACTTAAGAATCATGCATGTATGTACCCATTCAAGTTGGAAATAAGCCTGGTATCTAATGTTTGGACGCTCTCTTTTACCTTAACGGGTTGCAGCGTTATGTTTTTGAATTTTATAGCTCCAGGCTTCGCGGTAGGGATATCTCACCATGGAAAGCAAATTGCCCTGCATTGAGATCAGACAGCACCTATTTCGTGGTGGAATTACTGGGCTCGATCCCTGAACAAGTAATGTGCTATAGGGAGAGAATTTGACTCTAGTGGATCAGAAGCAAGATGTTTCATTCTGGGTGGTAAATTGTTATTGACCGTCTGAAAATCAATTGGCAGTTTTCTGCACGCGATACTAACCAAATACATCGTGAGACTCTAATTTTGCTATTAATTGCTCCAATATATTTTGGGTTGTTTTTAATTGATATTTAATTCGTTTCATTGGTGGCTGGAAGCAGTGCTCCAAAAATGGGGCCACGTATGCTCTCTTTCGCCAAACTTCTGTAGCTGTCAATTCGCCAACGCATGCATTCATCGCACATGTTTAAAACGCACACTATGATCCTTTGCCAGAGTCCAAAAACAATTTATGATAAAACCCCGAATTCAGTTGTCAGAACTACCAAATTGCCGCATGCGGACAGCCCCTATCTGCAAGCGAAACAAAGAACCACTGATAGTCAAATGGAGCATTTCCCCGGCTAGATTAAATCCATACCAATTTTTCTTTACTACGACCCGTAGGGTCTGATAATTCTGAAGTAAATTCGAGTATGGCTCCTTCAGAACCGCTGAAGAAGAAACAAGCAGCTCGAAGTGCCACGCCGAATCAACGCCCCGTTCTCAGGCGGGTAGCTGGGAATGCATCTTTGAGAGACAGAAGTCGGCAGGGAGCATATCATAAAAATGATAGACCGCCACCTCAATTAGACACCCTGGATAATTACTACCAGGAGATGAGTCGAGTTGATATGGCCATGGAAATTTTCAATAACACTATCGCCGAAAACATGGCAGGGGTACATCTAGAGATCAAGACAAGAGTTGAGAATGGTGAAGCTGGCGAACGTGCAGCTCCAGTTACCCAACACCTTGCTCAAATGCTACTCACGCCACCCGTGTCATCCGTAGCCCCAGGATCAATTAAATCGAAAACCCGAGACAACCCTACAGACCTCAAGGCCCACCACCAGGAGAAACGTGCCAAGATCCATCAAGCAATCTTGAAGGATGAGACTTTCGGCTCCCTTCTTCGCCGGGACAATTACTTCCATGCATTGATGAATGATTTGGACGGGTTGCGGCAGTGGTGGAACTCATGTCGTCTAGAATGGACGAATCGCAAGGGGGAAATGGTTGCGATGGAAAAGACGCTCAATGCTCTTGCATCCCAGAAAAGGAGATTGGGGGCTCAGTTGCGAGAACGGAATATGATTGGGCCTAAGGGCGCGTCCAAAGCTGCGGAGCTTTTGAGGCTGGAGAAACAGTATACGCTGCAAATGGTGCGACTTGAAGATACTGGCGTTTGGTTTGGAGAGACTGCGAAACTTTTGAGCTCGGTCAAGCTTCGATTCAGGGAGCTTCAGTTGAAGTCAAAAGAAGCCGAAAAGGATCTTCAGTAAGTAATTCGTAAAGTCCAAACTCTCAAAAATTCATGGCGAAAGGAGTTCCGCAACCATAATGTTTAATCCTTAATATATCCAGCTTGTTAATGAGAAGCTAACATTTTATTGCACTCAGCCCTGACGATACACTTCCAACTGACTTCGAGTATGCTTTTGATGGTATCAACATCGCAGATTTCTCCAAAGCGCCCCAGTTACCTTCGTGGTGGAAATCGGCCAGTCCTCTGTGGTGGCTAGGTCACGCTACGACAGACTTGGAAATGAAAGGGCACAACATTGAAGCAAGTATCGCAAAGACGAACGCTGTATTATATGAGTGCAACAACCTGCTAGACGACACTAGACAGAATATACAGGACTTCAAAAAAGATCAAGAAGAGAAAATCGAAGGAACTGAAAAACAGATCGAGGTACGTAGGCAAGAGATGCAAGAAATATATGCCAATAATCCTGCACGTCGTGCTTCGTTGGAAGAAAATCTCGTCAAGTTGTACCATCTTAGACGGTCAACAGAGGATTCTTTGGAAAAGGAATTGCAGTATAAAAAGAGCCTCATTACAGCACTTGACAAGGAACGAGAGATGCGGCTGTTCGACCACAAGGATCTCACAGTGCGATTGGAGAGAATGAATGCCGTCACCGAACTAGCACGAAGCACCCAGCATGCTGTACGCAAGATCGATGTCACTCAACCTCATATTATTGCATGTCTTTCCATTGTCCATGATATTTGCTGCGCTCATGCATACCGAACAGAAACGAGCCAATGCCTACAGGAAATAATCAACGACGGGGTTCTTTCCTATAATGATAAAATCCAACTCACGAGCCAAAAAGTAAACCACTTCAAATATTGGGAACCGCGCTATATACTAGTTGTCAGGTGTCTGAAGGCAGTATCTGAAGGGAAATTAGATGATTCTGCTATCTTGCAAGAGGCCTTGGGAATAACACAACATGAACTCGATGGCTTGCTGGCAATTGTCAATGAAGCAGAACAGCTCCTTACAGCCCGAGCCACGGCGATCGACAATCCAACTATTATCACAAGCCATGCTCCTGAGGTCGTGATGTCAGAGCCCGAGGGACAGCCTTGGGGTCAAATCAAAACTCTCCCAGACGCGAAGATGGTCATGAATGAGCTGGATAGCAGAGGAATATCAATCGACAAGCGACTAGGTCAGATTCTTCGAGAATACTTCACCAGTCCCGACGTTGCACCAAACTTTGAGAATGTGTCCAAAATCACCAAAACAGATTTTTTTGACCTTGTCAACACGTTTTTGGATGAAGATTACGCCTTCACGGCCAGAGAGATCGAAGCCTTCTTGCTCTACTGCAATGATATTGCCGAGTTGTTCATCCTGGTCAACGATTGTGTCTCAGCGACTGCGGACGGATGGGAATTAGTAGATGAATCTCCCATCGGCGGACCTCCGCGAAAATTCCTGCTTGCTCCCGAAAACGCAGAGTTTTTCGCCGAGAGGTTGGTCAAGTGTCCCATGGATATTCTAGGTCGTTTAAAGATCACAGGCGCACAACGTGATACTGAGGAGGATGCTCTGATCTACATCATGCAAAAATATACCCCTTTGCCTTGGCCCATGGGTACGGAATCTTGGCAAACGCTATTAGTTTACTTTAGCCACGCCGGGAAATTCTTCAGATAGTGAGTTTCTTATCCCCTCCTTGCCCTTTACCCCAAGGTAAGGTAAGATGAGGTGAGATGAGATGCGTGAAACTATATAGTACTAATAGACCCTCTCTCCCTCCCTAGTCTGCCAACACTGTCCCCAGAAACAGGCCAGCCGGTCCTGCGCCGCATCAACAACGGCTGGGTGCTCTACCCCGTCTTAGAGCGCCTCGAGCTATTCGAGCACGGTCCCAAACCATACTTCCAGCCCATCCGCCACGCCATCACCAGCAAAATCACGCGCGAAATCCTCCCCCCTTCCTCTACAGTCGGTGAGCTGTATGCCACGCTTCAGCGTGTTATGGGCGGGTTTAAATACGGCGGTTTCTTTGGTCTGAATCAGAAGGAGGTTACGTTGTATAAGTTCCACTTGTTTTTGAGGTGGTGTCATCAGATGAATGATCTGTTTGTGTAAGTTTACTAATTTCTTCTGAGGGTTTTGTTTACAAATTCACAAGCTAAAAAGTTGCGCTTATAGGTTTAAGAATAATGAAGAAGTTGAGACGATTACTGCAGGGTGGGATCGGAAATATTAATTAATGCAAGTATAGTTTTAGAGGCTCTTGAGGCTTCTTCATATGATCGGGGCGTTTGAAGTCGGCAATCTATTAAAAGGCTTGTTTGCAAAATATAGTATCTCTAATGGATGTTTGTTCTTTGCTGTAATGTTATATACTTCCTATTATTTCAAGTATAGGTGCTTGGTGTTATGCTGCGTTTTCTTCAAGTGTAATAAGATAATGTGACCGCGGGAGATAAAAAGGGTCATTGGGAGGCTGTTTTTTTTTTAAAGTGTCAGGATATAAGGGGTCATAGTGAGAGCAGAGCCTCTCTAGTCATGTGACTTGGCATAGCTTAGGTAAGCGAAAGAGGCGCATAATGGGTGGATGGATGGATAGTGAGGGTGAGAATCCGAAGCGGGCACGGACCAGGAAGAATTAGTGGCACTACTGTACGGAGTCCACGCCACGATAGACCAACCGACCCCGCACCGCACTACGACTCTGAGCCTCAAGAAATGCAACCCAGGCCAGGTGCACCGTGTGGCAACAACGAATGCAATGCCATCAGGACATAGGGCTGGCTGTACGAACCCACCTGATATTCCTTTCCTTCAAGCGCAGTAGATTCTCCAAGCTTTGCAATACCCGCCTGGTGTGCATTTTACGCGTGCGCTTACTTCCTCGAAGGTGCTGGGTTAGGCTTTTGTTACTTTCCGAGTCGGCTTGGCAGGTATTAAGGTGGTGTTCCCCGAGATATTCTGCAGCTCGTTGGCCGGAAGTGGCAATAGTCCCATCCGATTGGAAGGTGCTCCTTATCTCTCTAGCCTGTCAAGATGATTAGGGGTTGGTGGCTTAACGTATGCACCTAGAGCAGGACTTGAAAGCAGAACGCCGAAATAGGAAATGT